TGGTGGGGCCGGGGGTGTGACATCGGGGTCGGGAGTGGAAGGAAGGGCCAGGCTGCAGGCTGTCAAACTCGAGGGCATCCACAGGCCACGTTGGCCTCTCAGCATCCCAGCAGTGTGCCCGGCTTCTTGCTAAGAGCCAGCCACTTGGGCACGGGGCTGTGGGACGTCTCGTCTCTAGGTGGGAGCGCTTGTCCCAGGGTTTACATATGTACAAAGGAAGGGACCGGGTAAGAGGACTCTGCCTTCCCTCTGCCCCAGGCTGTGCCCTGGAACAAATAGTTCTGTCTTGAGGAAAGACAAGTCCCTTCCAGAACTGAGTTTGGCCACCACAAGGGACCCCCGACCGCTTGGAAACTCCACCCCTCCTCCAGTCGGCTATTTCACAGCCGTGGGTCTGTTGAGTGGAGAGCTGTGTAACTTGCCACGTGTGTGACCTGTGACCAGGTAACATCCCTTTCCCCTTCTCCAGTCCTGCGAGGGGTCCTCTCTAATCCGCTGTCTGCAGGGGCTTTTCACCTGCCGTGAATGAAAAGGCCTGAGGAGAGAAGAGGCAAGAGCCTGGCAGTTATAGAGCCAAACACTCATTTGTCATGTCAGGGCCGAGCAGCGTGGCAGACGGCGGCGGCTGCGGCGACTGCTAACACTAATCCCCTTGTGTCTCGCAGTCATGCACCGTGGCATAGGGAAGAGTGCGGAGCTGGGAGGAAGAGGATGCAAACCTCCCCCGTGTCACTGCAGCCTTGAGGGGCAAAACATATTTGTTAACGAGAGCTTATTTTTACTTAAGGTCCTGAATCAGCTGCTCTTCACGGCACCGAGCAGGGCCAAGTAACCGCGGCAAGGGAACTGCCGAGCGGAGGAAGCACCGTCCTGGCCGAAGTGATTGCAAGGACGTTCCTGGCGTCCGCGCGCAGCCAAGAAAAGCACTCCGGAGAGGCCAGCTGTAAGCGCGCCCAGCAGCTGTCCAGGAAGAGAGATGATGGAGTGAAAAATCTTTTCTAAATAAACACTTGTTAAAAGCACCTTTCCTGTAATTGAACGTGGCCAGCCTGGGCATGACAGAGAGAGGTGCATTATGGGTAAAGGAGACCAATCGTGGCTGACATGAGATGGGGCTGGCTTGTTTCCTTAGTTCTTGCAGCATTGGGACGTCGGACTAATGCACAGGGACTCGGGAGAGTGGAGTTCAAGGTTCAGCTCAGCCGCAGGCAAGCGAAACACGAGAAGTCATTCTTCTGCGCTGTCCTGCGCTGATTAGGCCTCAGCTGGAGTCTTGTGTCCAGTTCTGGGCACCACATTTCAAGAAGGATGTGGAGAAACTGGAGAACGTCCAGAGACGAGCAACAAGAATGATTACAGGTCTAGAGAACATGACCTGTGAAGGAAGACTGAAAGAATTGGGCTTGTTTAACTTAGAGAAGACTGAGAGGGAACATGACAGCGGTTTTCAAATATTTAAAAGGGCGTTACGAGGAGGAGGGAGAAAATTGTTCTCCTTGGCCTCTGAGGACACGACAATGAGCAATGGGTTTAAATTGCAGCAAGGGAGGTTTGGGTTGGACATGAGGAAAAAGTTCCTAACTGTCAGGGTGGTGAAACGCCGGAATAAATTGCCTAGGGGGGTTGGAATCTCCATCTCTGGAGATGTTTAAGAGCAGGTTGGACAGACACCTCTCAGGGACGGTCTAGACGGTGCTTGGGCCTGCCATGAGGGCAGGGGACTGGACTTGCTGACCTCTCAAGGTCCCTTCCAGTTCTAGCATTCTGTGATCGCTGGATGACACTGGGCAAGTGGGGCCAAGCTGCCATGGGCCCTGGGGCTGGAGAGGGGACCTGGCTCTGCCTCTGGAAGGGGTGGAGCCTTTGGTGGAAGGGGCAGGGCTGGGGGCAGCCAGCCCTCAGCACCACCTGTGCCATGGTGCTGGCTCCCTTCCCCCAGCTCTCGGAGCCCCACGGAGTGTCCAAGAACGGCGCTGTAGCAGCAGTTCAAAGGCAACTGTCCCTTATCCCAAATGGGCTCCTGCCTCCGTGGCACAGGGCCACTGGGAAGTGAAACCCCCAAACCCTGAGGGAATACTGGCGGCACATCTCACTGGGGGGTCCAGCGCAGGTACGGTTCTTGGCTGGGAAGGCAGGCGAGCCAGGGTCGGTTGTCTCTTCGGCGTGTTAACGTTCGTGTAGGCGCATCAACTCCAGTGAGGCTCAGTGGCTTCTTTCTGAGCCGTGTGGCCAGGTGTCTAGGGGTGTGCGGGCAAGGGAGGAAGCCAGGTTTGCGATGTTTGCCCAAGCCAGGCCCTCCTGACACAGCCCCCCCATGATGAAAGGGCTTAAGGGTGAGCTGTGTCTGTACCGGAGTGGGTTTACGGGCGAAGGCCGGTGGAGCTGCCTAGTTATCTGCGCCAGTGGATACGCAGAAGGCGCGTGGAAACCCGGGTGCTGAGGGGCCATTCCTGGGGGGCGAGTGAAGGGAAGTGAGTTAAGAGGCGCTCGGCTCAGCCCTCCTCTGCCGGTTGTGACAAACGCCGCACGTGGCACAGAGGGGCTGGCTGAAGCCGACTTGATAAGCAAGCGAATGGCTCCAATCCTCTGGCATTCGTCCTCCGCGCGGTGCCGTTCTTCATCCCTTCGCATTGGCTGCTATTGGCCCGAATTCTTCGTCATCTGAACCCCTCTCCTTGCGGCCCGATTGCCGTACCCGCCCGTGCTCGAAGGGCGTGTTTGTGCCCAGAGGCAGGCAGCTCTGCCCCGAGGAGCGCTGGCCGTGTCTCTGGCCTGCGGCGGAGGAAGGGAGCCGGGCCTTCGCTTGACATGGATGGTGCTGAGTCCAGCAGCCAGGAACTGAGGCTGAATCACCTAGTTCCCACTCCAGCACCTTACCCAGACCCCCCCGCCCATGCCCTGCTACCTGAGCCGCTCTGCAATTCGGAGGGACTGTGGTGGGGTGAGGGGCTTCCCAGCGGCCCCCCAGACGTATGGCTTGTAGCCTCCCTTCCCCCTCTCTTTCTGTCTGTCCCCTGACGCTGGGTCTCGTCCCCTTCCCAGAGGGCTTTCCTGGTGCCTCTCCCCCCCCGTCCGCCTCCCCTTCGTATCTCCCGCTGCTGGCCCTGGTAGGCCTGTGGGAGGGAATGGTTCCCCCATACGAGGTCCTGGTTGCCACCCTCCCTTCCCGCACACAAGAGAGCTGGGGCGCAGCTCCCATGTTCCCGGCGCTGCAAGGGTGGCTTTGGGGGAGACTGAGAAGGGCTATAGCTCAGCTTTGCCCGGGGAGGCCTCCAGGGAGCAAACATCTGTCATTCGACAGCACCCCCACCTTTCCTTATTGAAGGCAGAGGGCTGGTGGAAAGACGAGTGGCAGGGGGCATGGCCAGTGGCAGCAGCCCACAGTCCCAGGGACAGCAAGGATGGCTCAGTGTTTAGTGCACTAGCATCAGGTGGAGGAGGCTCTCTGCTCCGCTACAGACTGCCGGCGTGACCTTGGGCAACTCACTTAGCCCCTCTGCTCTCCCTGAGGTCCCAGGCAAGGAATTAAGAGGACTGACCTAGCTTGAAAGCAGGTGTGAGGAACGCAACATGAAGAGCATGAAAGGCAGGTATTGTGGTGAGGGGTTAGAGTAGCAGAGCAGTCCGAGCAATCCTTCTGAGGAGTCCGAAGAGGAGCAAGAATTGTAGGTACTTTTGACCCCTGTTTCTTTTCTAAATGGAGGTGGAAGAGCTCCTCCCCCCTGCTGGAGCCCAGGGCAGTCTCTGGAGAAGCCAAGTGCTGCTAGTCGGTGCTGCTGAGTAAAGAGGAAATGCAGAGAATTAATCAGGAGACGCAGGGCGGGGGGCGCTAGTCACAGTCCTCTTACCTTGTGCCCTCAGTAGTGGCCCAGGGGTGGGTGGCAGGGCAAAGAGGGGCACCTCGTTTCCCCTTGTGGGTGCTGGGACATGGCGGGCACGTCTAGACTACGTTTACATTTCGAAAGAGGATATGCAAACTCTGCGGGAATTTTTCAGGAAAAAAGCCCTTTTTTGAAAAAACTGCGTAAACCTCATTTTTTAAGGCAGAGCGTCCCTTTTCGAAAAACTGCTCTTTCTAAAAAAAAAAAAAAAAAAAGAGGTTTACGCTGTTTTTTGAAAAAGGTTCCCCCCCCCCCAAAAATGCATCCAAACTACTTGCGCTTTCAAAAGACCCGCTTTCGAAAAAACGATCAGAAGACGTCTAAACGTGCCGTGCGCGTGGGAGGCGTAGAACACAACAGTTCGGCAGCTTGTAGTCGGGCTGATTTTATTCCCAGCCGTTTCTCTTTCAAGTGCCATGTGGTTATCTTCCCAGCATTCATTTCCCAGCTTTGCTACTACGGAGAAGTAGTAACTTGGTTGGGACAAAAGTGCTCCCTGTTCAGGCAGGCCCTGAGCTATTAAGTAAAACACTGACGTCTCTAGGTTTTGAGGTGCACAGCCAGTCAGGCAGACCACACGTGAGCGGCACGTTTTTCGTATTTGGTAGAGATGCAGAAGCCAAGCAAATGACTCGCTGCGTCTGCCTTACGGCAAACAAACAAATAAAACCTGGACGATTTTCCCCAGCTGTCTGTGTAACTTGCTATTTTTTCTCATAAAAGAAGGGAAGGGAAAATATTAGCTGTGTTGCATCTTAATGGTTTGCAGAAAGCCTTCCCCTCCCAAAAAATCCAAACCAGAAATCCTCCTGCCGCGATCTGCCCGCGTGTTCATTGATCTGGCTCTGTTCCCTCTCGTGACGCAGATAACGAATGTGTGCAAGAACTCCCCTCCTCCGCCCCGGGGGGGTCCTGTATTGGAACAATTCAAGGAGTAAAATGAAACCTGGTGCTTTTGATCCAGGCCTTGATGGAGGCACCCGGCCCTGCCCCATCAAAGCCGAGGAGAGTCCTTACAGCGGGTGCCGAATACATTTGCATGGTGTTCGTAATTTCCCTCTAGTGTCTGGAGTCCCTAGTAACTCGTTTTGTTTTGATCCTCTTGTGTGTGCTCCTCAGAAACCTTGATGGATACCCGGACGGCTACCGCTGAGCTGGGCTGGACTGCAAACCCTCCTTCCGGGGTAAGTGGATGTATCCAATTGCTGGCTCACTGCATGTGTCTCTGCTCTTGTAGGCTTCACAGTCCTTTTCAAGACATGCTGGGTTTTGAAAACTGCCGAGGCCTTTCTGCGTGGTGAAGCCTGCCTTTCGCCCACGGCAGAAACGTCTGCCACCTTTTTACGCTAGCGGGAAATCCTGTGGCCAGTGGGTCCCTCCCATTTTTTCCATCCACGTGCAGAATAAATGTTGTTTTGTGCACTGTGGCATGTGTGGCTGTGCACCACCTGTATAAACACAGGCTGCCGGCTGTGGGTGCTCCGCTAATCAGCTGGGTGGCATTTGGATCTCTCCTGGGTGGCTTACAGGGCGCGCTGCATGTGGTGTGTGTTGTGCAGGAGATAATGAATGTCTACACTACGGCCCTTGCTGCGGTTCTGCTGCGCTGCACTGCATCCCGGTTCCCTGCGTAGCTGCTCCATGCCGGCAGGAGAGAGTTCTACTGCTGGCAGTTCCCTGCCCCCCAAGTGATGTGGTGGGGGCTAGGTCCATGGGAGAGTGATTTCCGCTGACAGCGCTGTCCACACCGGTGCTTTTATTGGGGAAACGTGCATCGATCGGGGGTAATTTTTCATACCCAGGAGTGCTAGCGGCGACAGAGTCTAAACCACAGCGGTACGTTCTAGCCTGAGCACCTGTCAGTAACCCAAATTGCACGTTTCCTGGAACAGGCCGCGACTCTGTCCTGGCAGCGGCTGGTCTAGGAACCACCCACCTCTTTGCGAGGCAGGAACGCTGAGCTTGCACCTCAGGGTTCAATAAAGGACCCATATTGCCTGGGTGGCCAGGCTGTGAGCGGGTCTCCCTCCGGTGGTGCCCTGTTGCCAACCCGCCACGGGCCCCTTGCTGGGCTGTGCCCAGCCGGCGCAGGGTAGGGACGGCTTCTCGGTCGGTCCCCTCTTCCAGGAATTGGCTCTGGGCACGGCTCTCTTGCCTACTCGCTCTCCGAGGGCCTCTCGCCCGACGTTCTGGAAGGAGCCAGGAAGGAGCCGCGGAGCGAGAGGGGGTTTCATTTCTGTGCGGCGCCACCGGCCGCCCCTGGCGGTGCCTTTCCAGAGCACTGGCCGCGGCGGCGAGGCTGGGTCTGCTGGCGTGTTCATGGGGGAGAAAACTGCACAGCGGGAAGGGTTGTGTCCTCCGCTCTGGCTCAGCACCAGCTCGTGGGCATTAGAACCCGCTTTCCCGTGAGAGGGAACGTGCTGGGGAAAGTGTGTGTGAGAGTGGGGGGAGGGGCGTGGAAACTGGGAAGATCGGGGGGGCCCGTGTGCTGGAGACGGGGTGGAGGGAGCATGAGAGACGGGCCTCAGGTCCATTCCTGGAGAAAGAAGACGCCTTTTTGGATGTGCGTTCCAGCCTGGGTTTGTCTGTCTGAAATCCTCTCCCCCCACATTGTGTGGGGGACGCAGCTTCCTCCGTCACGGGGCAAACCAATTGAATTACCTACTGACGAGCGGCTTGAGGGTTTTGGGGGGCAGCTGGCTCGTGCTTTCTGACCTCCTGACGGTGGGCAGTTGGGACTAGATAACTCTAGTTAGCCCCAGCGGTGACTCCCCTTCATGCGCCAAGCATGTGGGCCTTTGTCTGAGCCTGCCTTTTCCTGGGTTGGCTGCCGGCGGCAGGCCCGGGGAGCAGACCCTCCAGTGGCGGGAGGCTTTGGGAAGGGGCTGCTCACCCCTTAGGTTCGTGGAGGCGCTGTGGGAAGGCTTCTTGGCGTCGCTGCTCACCTGCATGGGCCGACTGGCCTGAGCAAGTGCCGGGTTGGCACGCAGGCGAGCGCGACTGGCAGGCCTGGCCCGGTGTGCATACGAGGCTTTCCCTGGCCCATAGTGCCCAGCCTTTGTTGCCCCGTATGGCCGCAGGCCTGCGTTGGAAGCGAGAGCCCGTCTGTCCGGCAGTGGCTGTGGGGTGCGGTGTTACGCAGCCCTACCAGCTGAGCGCGGGGCTGTGTGTTCACTCAGAAGCCTTGCCGCCACTAGCTGGCGTAGAGCTCCCCGTCTGGGGGGACCAGCCATGCAGACAGGGTGCGCTGCTTGGGCACGCTGAGGCATGTCGGGTGCGCACCGGGTGATTCCGGCGTCTCTTCTGCAGCGCCTCCCAGCCTGGCGCCGTGAATACTTGTGCTGGGGGAGGCCGGCCGTGCCCGTGTGGCTTTGCACCGCTGCCAGAAGTGAGTGTGCAGCACACAGGCGCACTAGAACACCCCCCCGATCTGTGGGTTTTACACAGCTCCATGCCGTGCCAGATTTCCCTGGCAGGAGGGACGCACGTCCCTGGAAGCTCACACCCCGGCAAGAGAAATCTGGGTGCTGACTGTAGCAGAGAGGGGCCGGCAGCCGTGGTTCCAGAAAGGCCTTGCCCTCTGGAGAGTTGGTGCAGGGGATCAAAGCACCCGGAGGAACTCAACCTGACAGCTTCTCGTCTTGGGGGGCAAAAACACAAGTGCCGTCTCTCTGCCTCCCCTCCTTCCTTCTCGGACCCCTCGGAACGGAGTGTCTCCGGCTTCCAGGGCCTGTTGTGTTGATTAGATAGGCTACCAAGACCCAAAGAGCTAACCTGTCCTGTAAGCGCCATCGAACGGGGCTTAGCAGGAAGAGGCCAGAGAGCCCATGAAACGCAAGGAAGCAAAGCCAGCTGAAAGGTAACGTCTGACATAAGGCTGGCGGTGGAGAGTTTGTAGAGCAAACCCCCCCTTTATTG